CTATTTAACAATGAATACATTTCAGGCTAATGTGCTGCCAAGCTCCATCTCTCTTTCTAGCAGCTGAATTCTTGGATAAAATCATTTTGCAGGGTATGAGCAATGCAGTGCTGAAAATAGCATCACTGCAAAATGAAAGATGGCAAGAACCTCTATAATGCTGATTTATTTCAATGAAATTTCATCTTTTATGATTAGTATCTATTTTGATGTTTTCAGCTGAATTTTCATACTTAATAAAATGTAAATCTATAGAATTTGTTCATTCTGAGGCTCCAGCATAAATACCTAAGAGGGAAACAAATAAAGAAATTGCCCATTCACAATTTACATCATAAAATATGTAAAACATAAAAATCCTTTGTGGATCCAAATGATTTGCATTTATCATCACCATATTTACAAGGACATTAAAAAATGAAAAAAAAAAAAACAAACCCACAATAAAAACCACCACCTCACAATCAAAAAAATCCCACTAAAACACCAAAATAAACACCACCAATCAACAAGCTGTTTCACACTTACTCTAAGTAAGTTTCTACTAGAAGAATGGATTGGAACAACCCTCTTTAAAATATCAGTGGGTTTAAGCATCTTGCATAATGCTCAGCCTTTAGACATGTGCTGAGAAAACACTAAGAGGTGATATTGCACTTCCCTGATTCTAAGTAGATTACATCTTTTGGCTCTCTTTCCAATTCACTGATATGAAGGTATACTCCAGTACTTTATTTTTTTCCTCTTAGTGAATATTTTAAGTAGGTTGAGAAAAAAACAAATTTCAAGTGAGAAAGAGCCTGATATTTTATAATCCATTAATACAGCAGTCTTTTCTAATTAACATCAGCAGCTAAACAGGCATTCTTCTATCACAGACTATAAGCCATAAATGGGATTTTATGCATATGAGAGGTCTCAAAATCCCTAAGTCTGACAGTAGAAACAGGTGAAAAGAAAACAACATAAATATCATTTATGTACCTTTGGTCACTGGTGCCACACAGAAAGTGATGCTGAGACCAAGTCCAGCCACACTCTCAGCAGGACCTACACTTGCTAGGTCCATGTGAGGAAGCCAAAAATATGAATGTCCCAGTTGTGCAAGCCCCAATTCATATGACTCATATAGACTTCCCTGAGTTGTCCTAATGACACCAAAACAGTAAAGATGATTCATGCAAGTAAAAAATGGGAATACACAACTTCTTTTCTAAAAATGTCCTGTCTGCATACATATAGATATATGTTCATATGTATACTATTTTCATCTTTATATTATCTTTATCCACCAATGTTTTACACCAATTTATGTAAGTGACAGATCTGTCCTGAATTTAATAATTTATGTAATACATACATACAGAACAAATGACTGAGGAGGAAAAAGTATTAAAAGATAAAGTAAAGAGAGAAAAGGAATAGCAGAGGAAAATTAGAGGGGAGATAAAAAGAAACTACATGAATATATATCCACAGTGATGCAGTAATTACAGAAACAGTCCCATTGATTTTGAAAGGCTTCATTTGTAGCTTTATAAAAATTAAAATATGATTAGTTTGGTTTTTTTTTTCTTTTTTAATCAGTACAAACAGGTTTATTATCAGAAAGGAGAATGTGTATCTTTATGTAGTACATTACTCACTATCAGTAACAATATCAACACATGCTGTGCCAAAAGGATACTCAGGAATTACAAGATACGCTTAAGACTATCTGTCTTGATGCAGTATAGATAAAAGACGAGAAATAAACTGAGCCCTCTACTATCATTATCAGGCAACATACAAACCTTGTATATTTAACAGTATGTTTTTTCTGAAGTCTGCACAGATAATAAATATATAAATATATGTGGCTACAAAAAAGAAGTGCTTTGCATACTGTTATAGCAGTAGTGGTTATAGTACCAGGAGTACTAGATACAATATTCTCATCTAAGTGCAAAATATCTGCTGTGTTGCAGGTGTAATTAAAGGACTTGGAGTTGCTGTGTTGAAAGTATGACCATGGCATCTTGCACCAACAAACAGATCCCAAACACATGACACAATTAATATGATACATTTAAATGGAATGCAATATGCATCAATCAGCAGCTAAGCCTTATGGCTCAGATCAAGACACAATTAATACTGTACTTCAATTGTTTATTAAAGAACAGTCTTCAATATTTGCAGTGAAATATTTCAACACTGGAAGCAAGGAACGCAATACCACCTGCTCAGATTTTCAATTAAAAATTAATGCTACCATTTCATACAACACAAACCTGCACATGAAATTCTCTATATTTTGCTTTTTAAACATATCAGGGCCTTTTTATCTTATCTGAGAATTAAAATTAATAAAATTACTGAGATTCTATCACACAGGAATTTCATAAACCTTCGGCATTTCTTGCTAAGAATACTACATTCTTCTATATTATTATATTGGTGATAGTGACTTCTGAATGTTTTAGTAAAAGCACATATTAAAATATTTATTAATGCAGAAGAAACAGATGACTGAATGAAAAGTGATTGTACAATAATGTGTTGTTGAAGAAACCATACACTCTACAGCCCTGAATATGCACATTTTTCACACAACAGCTAGGAAATCCTGCTTCCTCAGATGAACTTTTCCACTAAGAGAAAAAACAGACTGAAAATAATGGGGAGAAAGCAGGTAGCTAAGAACATAATATCAGCTAACCTCCAGTTCTTCAATTATTCACATCCTTTCTTTCCTTTATTCTCCTCTCCCAAGTTTTTTTTATTCCTATTTTTAATATTCTTAATATATAATATATTTTACATTAAGAGCATTTGCGTCACTTCTCTTTGTTCTTCCCCATTTGTAATTTTTAGTAAGAAGTGAAACACTGCTGTCAAGTCTTAAAAAAGAAGAGAAAAATTGTTTTCTCCTTCACCTGTTACATCATTACTTTTTGCTAAGCAGCTCTCCCTGCATCAACCTGTTGTGTGCTGCCTTCTAAACAAACCAAGCCTTGCTTGCACTTTGATGCCTTTTCAAAGGGGAAACAGTACTGTGAAGGATGCACAGTCTCTACAGATTGTTTCTGCAACATTTCAATGGAATAACAATGAGAAAAAAAAAAAAAGAGCAAACAAGTAGATTGTGCAGAACATGGAAATGTTGATGATTAACATATTCTGAATTACTTTATCATAGGTATAGCTATAATTATAGTTACATGTTTCACTGCTGTCAATTTCTATTACCATGACTGTCAATAAAGGTACATTCGGAAGGAAATTAGCAAAAATAGATGGGGAGACAAAACCAGTTTTAAAAGAATATCACATATTCTTATGTTAAAAAGCAATCTGGATCTCTATTTGAAAATATATATAATGTTTTTATATTATTTTTTTTAATTTCACTGGTTTCTATTTTTCTTTCTTTTTTAAACCCAAAAAAATCAACATAGAAGATAAATTGTAATTAGTTGTGTATGATAACCTGATCAGCTCAGTGAGAAACTGTAAATATCAGAGCTCAAAAAAACAGAAATATGGGCAAACACAAGAAAACAATGAATTTAAAAGTCCTGGGTTTGTATTTTGCTACACTTGCTTCTACCTGGCACATCTTTATACACTGCAACACGAGAATGTTTTAGAAGACAATTTTCCCTACAATGGAAGACCGTATTTATTCAACTTAGAAGATACTAAGTGTATCTTAGCATCTTATCTTTGTATTCCTTCCATTTAACAGTGAGAGCATCCCTTTGAGTCTTTCATAATGGAACCGATACTCAGAACTGAATCCAATTATAACAACCTACCAGCAGTACTAATTGGTGAAAATGCATTGCTGGTAATTACTGCAACGCATCCTTTACCCAGGATGAACGACACCAATAAATTCTACCCAGTGTTAAACAATAAGGAAAGACTACCATTAGCACTGTTTTTCTTATGTAAAATGCTTTAAAGTGAGTCATCCACTTAAAAGTTACCTACTGGTAGCTTTAACCCAGATTCGGGAACTAAGGTAAGTGCTTCAAAAAATCAACCAAACAAAAAGAATATAAAAATAATGAGGTGAGAGAGAAGAAAAAGAAAGAAAACACGATCACATAGTGCTTTGTCGTGGATTTTTTTTTCCTATCTGTAGGCGAATCTTCAATATGTACTGGCTTCCTTTTGCCCTTCTTTTACTGCATCATTATTATTTGATCTTTGCACTGCTCTGGGCAACACTTTCATGCTAATAATTCTGCAGCGCTTTAAAGATTCCCATCTCAGGGCCAGGCAAGGCACCGAGCTGCGCGCACCGCGAGCATCCTTCAGCTCTCGCGAAGATATTTCTGAGAAGTAACGATCTGCAAGGCCGAGGCTGGAGAAGGCACTTCTCCAGCTGTGTGGCTTCACGCGTGAGAAAGCCCCTCCGGCGGGACCCACCGCAGCCCCGAGCCCCCGCGGGTGCGCTGGAGCCCGGCCAGGCAGGAGGGAGCCGGAGCTCGGGCTCGGAGCTCCCAGCCATGCCCGCCTGCCCCGCTTCCCATGCCGGCCGCGGAAAGGCAACGAAATCCGCCTTCCCTGTGGATTTTCATCAAATTGCCAAAGTTTTCAGGTTTTTTTATAGACAGTGTTGAAACTCCATCCAGGCTGGAATAACCTCTGTGGGAGGAAGGGGCGGACTCTGTGTAACTCGAAACTTTCTTCTCGACAGGGATGACCTGACGGGGTATATCTGGGAGCCGCTCCGGAGCGGGATTCCTAGGCGAAGCCTTTACCTCAAAAGTCCCGCCGCCGGCCGTCACCGGAGCTTCCCCCTCCCGGCGACCGCCCCGGCGGGACCTTCAGCTACCCCGACTCTTCTAAGCAAAAGCTCCGGAAAACCTACAATTTTTTTCCCGATCTTCACTTTCCGCCCGCTCTAACTTGATTTCCCTTTGTATTGTCGCTGTCCCTGGCGCCGAGCAGCGCCCCCGCTCCGGCCGTGCTCCCGCCCCGGACCCCCGGACCCCGCTGGGACTTACGTGGTGGCCGAGGGGAAGGGTCCCTCCGAGGAGTGGTTCATCACCACGGAGTGGAAAAGTGTCAGGCTAAAGAGCAGCAGCCAGCCAGCAGCCATCTTCCTGATCGAAGATCGATCCCCCTTCCCCAAGTCGGCGAGACGGCAATAATAATAAATTCAATTATCGTGTGTGGCGGTGCGGGGGGGGGCCGTGGTTCTTTAAAGCCTCCTCCGCTCCCCCCACCCGCCCCCTCGCAGGAGGCGCAGCCCAGAGATGCGCGGAAAAGCGGGAGCGCGGCCGAGGGTGGGGAGGAGGAGGAGGAGAAAAAACGATGGAGATCTGTGGGTGGAGTGGGAGAAGAGGCGAAACAGAGAAAAGAGAGCGAGCGAGAGATACTCCACTCTCTGCTACTCCAGCAGCAGCTCCAGCTTCATCCGATCCGCCGCCATCGGCGCTACTTTTGTAACAGATCCCACTCTGCGTGTGTGTGCGCGCGTCCTTCCCTGATTTATTCCACTGATTGCAGAGCAGAAAGACGAGGAGAGAGGCAGGCGGGGTGGCGGCTCCTGGAAGAAGAGGAGGGAAGCAGGCGGCAGAGTTGGAGACGGGCGGATCGCTGCCGGCTCCTGCCTTCCCTGCCGGCAGCGGGGAAAGTCGGGGCGAGCCGCGGGGGCGGGCGCCGGGCCCTGCGGCGGCCGCGCTCCATACAAGGCGCCCAGGAACTCCCGGCCGGGCCGCCCCGGGGCCGCGCTGCCGCCGCCCCGCCCCGCGCAGCCCGCACGCTATTTTTAAAACCGCTTCGTGCCTTATTTTAATTCCAGCCCCCTCCTCCCTTCTCGGCAGCGGCAGCAGCCGCACGCGGCCCGTGTGCCACCAGCCCGGGCTGCGGTTTAAATAGGTATTTCATGGATGTAGCTGTAAATGCCGCTCTCCCCGCGGCCGGCTGGAGCAGCGCCGCTCAGCCCCGCCGAGCCCGCCCGGCCGCCGCCCCCGCCCTCCGCGGCGTCCCGGGCCCGCAGCGCCTCCGGGAGCCGCCCCCGGCACGGCCGGGAGCCCTCGGGCTTCACCCCCGCCCCGCCGCATCGCTAACCCAGTTACTCATTTCAGGTCTCCCTGGAAATTCAGAGGACGCATTCCCTCTCGCCTGCTTTCGTTTGTTCACGCACACCAGTCTCTGTGGCAACTATACGCTCTCGGTATAAATGTGGAAAGTAATCCAGGGAAATATTTATTGGTTTATTTCTTAACGCAGTTAAAAGTTCAGTGACAAATTTGATTTTCTTTTTGATCTGTGGGTTTGGTTTGTTTGTTTTTTTCTTTTTATGTGCTTACATATTTATATTTTAATATATTTACTTAGTTCAACAGGTGAAAATGAAAGAGCACACCCAGTATTCATTTTGCTTTCACATCCTTTGTATTTAAGGATCACATCTTGAGCGTATTAACTCACAACAATTTCTATAAAACAGGAAAGTGCTCATCTTTATTTTAAAGGCGGCGAAGGGATCAAAACTGAGATGCACAAATGAAGAATTGAGTGCTCACATTGCCTGGGCTCAAAGCCAGCACGATATTTCAGTTGCAATCTGTAAAGCATGCAGTCACTCATCCACATTGTTTCTGGATTGGAGCTGGCACTTGGGAGCTCGTGGGAAGAACTCCCAGTTGTCTTCACCTATCCACCTACCTATAGGTACGTAGGATTCATCAGGGTTTGGAAGCAAGTTTGAAATAGCATTCTCTAAAATGATTCTGCAGCCTTTAGACTCAAACAGTCTGAAGAGTATCTATAGCTCAGCTTTTGTTGGTCTCCATAGTCCTGACAGTTTTGCCACATGAAGTGGCACCTCTTTGGGTACTTACCTGTAACTGCTCAGCTGAGTACCTCTGCTTCCCCACGGGGATGTCATGGGCACCAGCACAGTCATGGCCCTGTGGCACAAAAGTCCTGCTTCACATGAGATGTATTGTGAGGAGATCTGGGGTAAAAGATGGTAGGGAATGGATTTAAATCTTGGCAAAATGCACAGAGGAAAGAGGCTGGAGATGTGAACTAGTACAGGTTGCACAAGACCATGACAAATTTACTTAGATAAAGCTCCTCATGTTTGGGCTCTCACCCTAAGAGTAGCATTAAATATTGAACAAAAATACTCATTCTGCTCCTTAATAGGACTCTGGAGTTTGGCTCAAGTTCATGCCTAAACTCTGCTGAGTGACCAGGAACCAGATGTTCTTCTGTTACGAAACATCCCAAAACAGCTACAGTTTTGCAGTGGGCAGCACAGTAATGGATTAACACTGACAACCCCTACAGAATAAATGGGAATGCCCCACCTGGCTCCTTCCCTACCTGAAGGATCAAGCATATGCCCGTTTCTTCTCTTCTCAGCAGGAAAGTGTTCATGTTAAATTTCCAGCAGTGCTGTCCCCAAGGGCCTGTTGAGCAAGCTGTGGGCACTGAGCTGGGAAAGAGAACCCACTGGAGTGGGCAAACAGAAAAGTACTGACATGTTGGTGTGGGAAAGAGAGGGTGCAAGTAATTGTGCAAACACACAGAGGAAATGGTTTCAGTAGGTGAGAATAAGCAAGACCACACTTACTCACTAGTACCATTTCAATATAATATAAAGGAGACTAGAAAATAGGGAGTGAAAATGTAAAATAATAAATAGATAACTAAAGGGTTACACAGGAATGTTCCTTTCATAATTAGAACAATTTTCTGTAAGCCTCACTTCTGATGCTTATAGAGCTTCTTAGGGCAATGATTATAGCTGCAAATAGTTCCAGCAACAGTAACACATGGAATGGCAATGGAACTGTGCAATGCATGGGTTGCTTGACACCCCACCTAGTACTGTAAGGTCTGGATTGATCAGTACTAATACACTGAACAAGAGCTGAAAAGTGAAAAATATTCTAGAGGAAATACTGCTGTGAATTAGTAAAGAAGTATCCAAAGCTTACAATCTACTCTGCTATTTACAACTATATAAAAAGACCCTCTGCAAGTTAATCCTACTATGAGCAGTGTGAGTGCGTGTGGAGCTCCCTGAAACTCAGGGATGAAAGAGAGAAGTTGTGTATATGAGGCTCCAGCACAGAGGAGAAATACACAGGTTAGCTCCAAACAAGCTGGTGGAGGTGTGGAGGAGCAGGGCTGGAAAATGGAGCTTGACAAGGGCTGTGGCATTTTGGGAAGGTCTGTGATAGACAACTCAAGATCAACCTGCAAACTTTTCAGGATTTACAAGAAAACTTGAACTGGAGCCCAGTTTTGAGAAAAGGTGGAATCAAATAACAGTTTTCCTGTAAAATTAAGTAAGGCTGGAAGGCAGGTTTTGAAGTTTTGCCTTTTTTTGAATCTAAAACTCAGGAATCCAATGCCAGCCTGAATCATGGGTAAGAAAAGAAAGCAGGACTTATTCCATGAACAATTTGGTATTTACTAATCACCCAGTCTTTGTTTCACCTAGTTATTTATGGCCTAAAAATGCATTAATTTTTCAGGTATTTAATAAAGATGCAGAATTTTCAGAAATGCTGACCTCATCCTACAGCTGTGTATGGACATGAGTAATAGGCCTCAAATGAGTTCCCACTACTTTCAATAAGAAAGTGTGACTGACATAAAACATAAAATTAGCAGAGTTAAGTTTCTTGGTATGTCTTCACCCTCCCATAATGCAGAAAAATGAAGCACAAATGTAGTTCCATCATGAAGTTTTAAAAAGCCATTCAAGTCCCCTAAACAATCAATTTCTTTACATTTGCTAATTAAACTACTTTCTTATATAGTCGCTGTTTTACATACATGGCTTGTACTTCACAGTAACATTGCACTGCAGGAATTATTGTAATTTATCTGCACTGAGATTCCTAAATATCTATTAAAGCAGATAAATCTTTTTCTTTAAGCACTTGAATGACAAACAACGAAAGTAAATCTTTCTTCATTCTTACTTCACTTCATTCTAAATTTATTGCCTGTCATATCTGACCGAGACCTTTCTGTGAAGGAGCACAGAAGCAACAGGTCTTGATATAATGAGGCATCTTACAGAAAGTTTGCTGTGTAACTATTTGGTGCACTTAGCAGGGTTAGGTTTGTGGTTGGACTCTTACCTTAAAAGACCTTTTCCAACCTAAAATATTCTGTGATTCTATTCTATGATTCTACTGAAAGTACTGGAAATCTTTCAACTGACCATGGTAGTCCATATGTCAGAAAAAAAAATCCTATTGAAAAAATACAACATTTTATTTGCATCAAAGGCTTCTTCTCAGTTCATTTAATCCATAGCAAGTATTAATTAATGATAAAGTTTTTCCCTTTTATTTCAGTTTCTGGATATATTATTTATGTTTTCATGCCTTATTTACAGCATTGCAAATCAAGCATAAAAGACAAAGGAGCAGGGCCCTCTGTCTCTTAATTATTTAAAAAAAAATCCAAGTTTTTTATGTTAGCACCAGAATCAAAGTTCTATTAATCTGGTTTTATGCTTGTATATAAACTCATTTTTCAGTAATCAGCATTTTCAGAGAAGTTTTTGAAGCCAGTAACAGGTTAAGACCACACATGCTGTGATTGCAGCACTTGTGTGAATAGATGGGACACAGTTACCACGTGCCTTAAGTGTCTTTTGTGGGGGTGTTACAGGCAATAAATCTGTCCTGGCTTTATTCTTGCCAGCCCTGATCAGCATTTTGCTGAGCACATTCCACCTTTGTGCTTGGTATAACACATGCTCCACTAGATGGAACCCCCAGATATTACTGGGTTCAGCCAAAATATGCTCACTGAAATATGGCAAAAAAGTGTGTGCATGACCCTGGAGAAATGTGTAAAGCAGAAGTCTGATGAGGGGTGGCTGAGGAAGCCTGGAGAAAAGGAGGCTCAAGAGGGACCTTGTCACTCTGTACAACTGCCTGAAAAGAGGTTGTAGAAAGAGGTTGTGGGGTTCAGTTCTTCTCATGAGTAGTAAGTAATAGAACAAGTGGAAATGGCCTCAAGTTGCACCAGGGAAGGTTTAGATGAGAAATTAGAAATATTTCCTCATGGAAGGGGTTGTCAGTGCTGGAACAGACAGCCCAGTGAAGTGGTTGAGTCACCATACCTGGAGGTATTCAAAAGACATGTAGATATGGCACTTAGGAACATGTTTTATTGGTGGTCTTGGCAGTGCTGGGTTAGCAGTTGAGCTACATAATCTTAAACGTCTTTTCTAACCTAAATTATTCTGTAGTTCTATGATAATTAATGTCACATACCAAAGTACTGCTTTCTTCCTGGCTTGTAATACCTTCTTTATGTCTGTGTTTTACATAGGGAAGGAGGGGGTAATCTTGCTGAGTAGTTCTCATACCATTTGCTGGTGCAGGACTGACTAGAGACAGCCTGATCTCAATTTCTAATTTCAGGGGTAAAAGTGGTCTTATTGGAGTCTGCACCAGATGAAATGCAAGATCCAGCCCATTGCAAGTGAGATGAATTGTTTTGTTTTATACAAAACATTTGATAAAATGTTTTTATCAAATATTTGAACTTGATAAAATTTATATTGCAAAAACTTTGTGACCTACATCCAACAGCCATATAATCTGTTTTGTTGTCACCCTTGTGTTTGTTCATATTTGAGTAAGCATGCTGGATGTGATAGCAAAACCTTCTCTATTTGATGACTGTTTATGCTTTTCTCATTATTGTCAGATTTGAGGAAAGCATTCATTCTAATTCTAGGCATTAAACAGGGCTGTATGCATTTTCACACTTGGGTTTTTTGATACTGCAGTTAAACCAACAATAATTTTAGGATAACTTGATATTGAAACCTGGAGTCCAGAACAATAAAAATTCTCCCAGTGAATACGAAGAAAAATATTTTATAACAAAGAGTAGTCTAAAACTTCTTCCATGGTGCTGATTTTGCTTGGTGTAAAGTTGATTTTCTCCAGAGTAGCTAGTATGGGGCTTTGCTT